GAGTACATTTCTTTTTGGACAATGTCACCCCTTCACCTATTTTCTCCCAGGTTTTCTTTCTCACCCCACTCCCCAAGTTCTACAGTTCATTTTCTTTTTTTGCTGGTCATGGGGTCTGAACTCTGGGTCTGGACATTCCCTCAGCTCTTCAGCTCAAGGCTAGTGCTCTACCACTGGAGCCACAGCGCCACTTCCGGCTTTTTCTGTTTTTGTGGTGCTGAGGAATCGAACCCAGGGCCTCATGCTTGCAAGGCATGCACTCTACCGCTGAGCTACCTTCCCAGCCCTCTACAGTTCATTTGCAACATAGCTGATATTTTCAACATAGCTGATTTCCTTTCTTTCTTCCTTCCTTCCTTTCTTCTTTCCTTCCTTCCTTCTTTTCTTCTTTCCTTCCTTCCTTCCTTCTTTCCTTCCTTTCTTGCTCTTGGTGGTAGGGCTTGAACTCAGGGCCTGGGTGCTATCCCTGAGCTCATTTTGTTCAAGGCTAGTTTTCTACTACTTTGAATCACAACCCACAGCTCCACTTTGGGTTTCCGGTGGTTAATTGGAGATAAGAGTCTCATGGCCCAGGCCCAGAGTTCAGGCCCCACGACCAGACCCCCCCCAAAAAAGAGTTTCATTTTCTTAAGGGGCTGGGAAGGTGGCTCAGTGGTAGAGCGCTTGCCTTGCATGCATGAAGCCCTGGGTTAGATTCCTCAGCACCACATAAGCAAAAAGAAAAAAGCCAGAAGTGGCGTTGTGGCTCAAGGGGTAGAGCGCTAGCCTTGAGCTGAAGAGCTGAGGGACAGTGCCCAGGCCCAGAGTTCAGGCCCCACGACCGGACCCCCCAAAAAAAAAGAGTCTCATGGACTTTCTTGCACAGGCTGGCTTGAACTGCTATCTCAGCCTCCTGAGTAGCTAGGATTACAGGTGTGAGCCACCACTTCAGAAGTGATAGTATGCACCTGTTAGGAGTATAATAACAGTTTGTATATATATATATATGTGACATAAACAGATCTTATGTTAATAACTCTTAATATTGATATTCTATGTACTTTCTCCTTTATTGGCTGGAATACTTCTGTAACACAAAATGTGTTTTTGCACCTCACAATGTGCAATTCTTACAGGAAAAGCATGATAAATACCTGCTGTAGTCATCATCATCATCATAGTGATTATTGTTATTATTATTTTGCCAGTCTTGGGGTTTGAACTCTGGGCCTGGGCACTGTCCCCGAGCTTCTTTTCCTCAAGACTATCACTCTACCACTTGAGCCACAGTGCCACTTCTGGCCTTTTCTGTTTATGTGGTACTGAGGAATCGAACCCAGGACTACATGCATGCTAGGCAAGCACTCTACCACTAAGCCATATTCCCAGCCTACCTGTTGTAATCATTTTTGAAGAATGAGTTGGTTCCCTAGCATTTTCTAATGATGAAAAAAGAGTGTTAGAATCTTCATATATTCATAAATCTAAACATACTTGATGTATTAGGTCAGCAAGAGCCTCAAAGGGATCTCCTGATTGAATGCAATTCTATTAAATTCTATTGGCCTGCTTTGCAGAAATGGAGACACAATCCTAAAATTCATGTAGAATGGCAAGGGACCGTAAAAGCCAAACCAATCAAAAAGGACGAAGTAGGAAGTCTCATAACTCCTGACTTCAAAACTTACCTCAGATCTACAGTAACCAAGGCTTGCTGTGGTGAAGACAGGCATAGATCAATGGGATAGGATTGCAAGCTCAGAAATAAACCCAAAGTGGCTTGCTTTTTTTTTAAAAAAACATCATCATCAACAACAACAACAACAAAACATTCAACCTGGAAAGAATGGTCTCTTCATCAAATGGTGTTGGGAATGCTAGCTCTTCACATGCAGAAGAATGAAGCTGGACCCCTGCAGAGATAGCAACTCAGAAAGGATCAAACACCTTCATTTAAAAGTGCAAGCCAGAAGCCTCAGATGAAAGCCTAGAGATAAATCTTCCATGGCCTTAGATAAGGCACAAGTTTCTTTGGGTACTGGGGCTTGAATTTACGGCCCCACTTTTTTTGCTTGGCTTTTCCTCAAAGCTGACATTCTATCACCTGAACCACACTTCCACTTCTGACTTTTTGCTGGTTGATCAGAGGTAAGCGTCTCCTGGGATTTGTCTGCCTGGTCTGGCCAGTTCATACCTATAATCCAGGCTACTCAAGAGGCAGAGACTGGCAGGACTGTGGTTGGAGGACCGCCTGGGCAAAAAGTTAGTGAGACACCATCTCAGCAAAAATATGCCAAGGGCTGGCTATGTGGCTTACTGGTATAGTGCTAGCCTTGAGCAAAAGAAGCTCAGGGACAGTGCCCAGGCCCTGAATTCAATTCCCAGGACTGGCTAAATAAATAAATAAATAAGGGGCTGGGAAGGTGGCTCAGTAGTAGAGTGCTTGCCTCCTATGCATGAAGCCCTGGGTTCCATTCCTCAGCACCACATAAGCAGAAAAAGCTGGAAGTGGTACTGTGGCTCAAGTGGTAGAGCGCTAGTCTTGGCCTGAGGAGCTGAGGGACAGTGCCCAGGCCAGGAGTTTAGGCCCCACGACTGACAAAATAAAATAAGGGGAGCAGGGTGGGGAGGAGTCAGAAAGGTGAGGGAAGGGACAGTAGGGGAAAAACAAAGGAGAGGGTAACAATGCTCAATAGGAAATGTACTCATTACCTTACTCATATAACTGTAACCCGTCTGTACAGTATCTTTACAATAAAAGAAAAATAAAAGGATTTGACTCCATACAGGTTATATGGTGAGAGGCTAAGAGAAGGTAACAGAGAAGAGATTACTGACCTGAAAGGGATCATCTCTATGAGGGACTTGCTGTTTTCTGTGGCCATGGTTATCTTGTTTGAAACTACAGTGAAGCCAAGAATCTATAGGCAATTAAACAAACATCGAATTATAATTATTTTTTGGGGGGGTCCAGTTATGGGGCCTGAACTCTGGGCCTGGGTGCTGTCCCTCAGCTCTTCAGCTCAAGGCTAGCACTCTACCACGTGAGCCACAGTGCCACTTCTGGCTTTTTTCTTTTTGCTTATGTGGTGCTGAGGAATTGAACCCAGGGCCTCATGCATGCAAAGCAAGCACTCAACCACTGAGCCACCTTCCCAGCTTCTTCAGTCAATCTTATACCCTCTTATCACTAAACTTTTTCATGCGTATGGTAGTCTGTAGGCTTGAATTCAAAGTATGGGTGTTGTCCCTGACCTTTTTGCTCAAAGCTAGACTCTACCACTTGGGGTATACCTCTGACTTTTCACTGGGTAATTGGAGATAAAAGTCTCACAGACTTTCATATCTGGGCTGAGTTCACACCTCAATCCGTAGATTTCAGCCTCCTAAGTAGCTAGAATTACAGTTGTGAGTCACTAGCATCCAACAAAACTTATTTTTTGGTCGTTCATGGTTCTTGGACTCTGGGCCTGGGTGCTGTCCTTGAGCTCTTTATCTCAAAGCTAACATTCTACCACTGGAGCCCAAACACCACTTCTGGTTTTCTGGTGGTTCATTGGAGATAAGAGTCTCATGGACATTCCTGTGTGCGCTGGCTTTGAACTGCCATCCTCAGATCTCAGCCTCCTGAGTAGCTAGGATTACAGGCTTGAGCCACTGGTGCCTGGCAAACTTTTTTTTTTTAAAGCAAACCATGGGCTGGGAAGGTGGCTCAGTGGTAGAGTGCTCACCTAGCATGCAGAGGCCCTGGGTTCCATTCCTCAGCACTATATAAACAGAAAAAGCAGGAAGTGGTACTGTGGTTCAAGTGATAGAGCACTAGCCTTAGGTGAAGAGCTGAGGGACAGTGCTCAGGCCCAGAGTTCAGGCCCCACAACCAAAAAAAAAAAATCATAGCATACATTTAGGTGTAAGTATATATTCAGGCTTGACCCAATTCAATGTATGTTTTAAAATTTTTCTTAGTTTTTTGTTGTTGTTGGTGGTGGTCCCTCAGCTCTTCAGCTCAAGGCGAGCGTTCTACCACTTGAGCCGCAGCACCACTTCTGGCTTTTTCTGCTTATGTGGTGCTGAGGAATCAAACCCAGGGCCTCATGCATGCAAGGCAAGCACTCTACTACTAAGCTACCTTCCCAACCCATTTTCTTAGTTTTTACAGGGGAGAGCAAGGAAAGAAGTGACATTATCTAAAAAGAAATGTATTCATTACCTGACTTATGTAACTGTAACCCATCTGTACATTACTTATAATAACAATAAAAAATAAAATTTCAAAAAATTCTTAGTCTTTACAATCTTCTATTTATCTTTGACCTCTTAGGGTTATTTGCTTTTGTTGTCTTTTTAAAGTAGTAACTTAAAATGATCTGAGCCATGAAATCAGGGCATTAGAAATACCTACCAAAAATAATTCCATGGGAAACTCGATGGGGTACCGGTTGAAAGAAATTCTGATACACTTATTGATTCTCAGAGCAACAACAGCAGTTAGGAAAAGCAGGATGCTGGTAGAATTTGCTTTGGGGAGACCTATACAGTAGTTAATTATGTTCTGAAAGAAAAAAAAATACAGAGACTTAGAAGGGACACAATAATAGCTTAAATCTAGATATATTCATTTAAAAGAAGTTATAAATGTGTGGAAATGTAGCAGTTAAATCTCCTTCTGTATAACTAGTATAAGCTAATTAAAAAAAAAAAAAAAAGTCAGCCAGGCACCAGTGGCACAGGCCTGTAATCCTAGCTACTCAGGCTGAGATCTGAGGATCCTGGTTCAAAGCCAGCCCGGGCAAGAAAGTCTGTTGAGAATCATCTCCAATAAACCACCAGAAAACCAGAAGTGGTGCTGTGGCTCAAGTAGTAGAGCACTAGCTTTGAGCTGAAGAGCTGAGTAACAGCTCACAGGCCCAGAATTCAAGCCCCATGACTGACAAGAAAAAAAAAGTCTTGAGCCAGCAGGTATCAGTGGCTCATACCTGTGATCCTAGCTACTTAGGAAGCTGAGGGTTTATTATTATTATTATTATTTTGTCAGTTAGGGGCTTGAACTCAGGGCCTGGGCACTGTCTTTTAGCTCTTCAGCTTAAGGTGAGTGCTCTACCACTTGAGTCACAGCGCCACTTCTGCTTTTCTGAGTGGTTTATTGGAGATAAGAGTCTCAGGAGCTTTCCTGCCTGGGCTGGTTTTGAACCTTGATACTCAGATCTCAGCTTCCTGAGTAAGTAGGATTACAAGCTGAGCCACCAGCACCCAGCTGAGCGTTTTTTGTTGTTGCTGTTGTTTTTGCCAGTCCTAGGGCTTGAACTCAGGGCCTGAGCACAGTCCCTAAGATTCTTTTGCTCAAGGCTAGTGTAAGGTCCGCTCCTGGATGGCGAGCAGACTCCACCCTCCTCACAGCAAAGTCTCCACCCAGTACCTGCGTTACCTAGGCAACTGGCACACCTGGAAGAGGTCACATCTGCATCTGCTGAGGTCACATCTGAATTTGATGTGGCCACACCTTTCTACGCCCATACCCTAGATAAGGGCTAGCCCAGGCCCAGCCGCCCTCTTCTGGCTCTCTCTTTCCAGCTCTCTCTCTCTTTCTCAGCTCTTTCCCAGCTCTCTTTCCCAACTCTTTCCCAGCTCTCTCTCTTTCCTAGCTCTGTCTTTCCTAGTTCTCTCTCTCTCTCCCAGCTCTCTCTCTTTCCCAGCTTTTTCCCAGGTCTTTCTCAGGCCTTTCCCTGGTCCCAGCAGGTCTCCTGAATAAACCTACCCCTTACCTGAATACCACGTGCGTGATGTGGTTCTTACTCAGCTACCTCTTTTTAAAAACCTAACAGCTAGTACTCTACCACTTGAGCCACAGCACCATTTCCAGCTTTTTCTGTATATGTGGTACTGAAGAATCAAACCCAGAGCTTCATGCATGCTAGGCAAGCACTCTACCACTAAGCCACATTCTCAGGCCAGGAGATTGAAAGTTGAGGATCACAGTTTGAAGCCAGCCCAGGCAGAAAAGCCCTAAGACTTTAATCTCCAATTAAGTATCACAAAGCTGGAATTGAAGATGTGACTCAAGTGGTAGAGTGCCAGCCCCTTGAACAAAAAAGCTAAGGGACAGCGCTCAGACCTTGAGTTCAAGCCCCAGCGCTGGTGTGTGTGTGTGTGCGCGTGCATGCACATACACGTGTGTGCACATACATGTGTGCACACACAAACACACACGAGAATACAAAGAATATAAAATACTAATTAACTCCTCAAAGCAAAAATGAAGGAGAAGCTCACTAAAGAACTTATAGGGCCTAGGCAAATTAATTGTAAGTAGGCTAATATATACAATCCCTAGGTCCTGTCTGTTACACAGAAATGTATTTTCTTCTTATTGGACATTACTCTTTTAATATTTCTTTCCAGCTTTAAAAAATACACATTATATGGCTGGGATATAGCTCAGTGGCAAAGTGCTTGCCTAGCAAGTACAACATTGTGGGTTTGATCCCCAGTACCAAAAAAGAAAAGACAGAAAAAAAAAAAATCAAAGCCAAGCACTTTGGCGCCTCACTATTTAGGAGGCTGAGATCTGAGGATTGCAGTTCAAAGCCAGCCCAGGCAATCTGTGAGACTCTTATCTCCAATTAACCACCAGAAAACCAGAAGCGGTGCTGTGGTTCAAAGTAGTAGAGAGCTAGCTTTGAGCTGAAGAGCTCAGGGATAGTGCCCAGGACCTGAGTTCAAGCCCCAGGACTGACCAAAAAAATCAGTTAAAAACAAACAAACAAAGATACACATTAGTACAGTGCTAACATGTATAGAGATGGAAGAAAGAAATCTCCCTTCCTTATGTAACTGATATACACCAATTAAAAAAAAATACTTGTCAAATCCCCAATGCCATGCCTGCCTTTGCAGTTCTAGAAATATCATTCAAAACCTTGGCATTCCACAACTGTCAAGTGACTTTTTTTGTTTGTTTCACTAATCTGGAAATAATTAAGACTTTGGGGTGAGGGGAATAGAACTGGGACTTGAACTCAGAGCATGAGCTCTCACTTGGCTTTTTCACATAAGGTAAATGCTCTACCATTTGAGTCACACTTTCACTTATGGCTTTATAGTGGTTAATTAGAGATAAGAGTCTCATAGACTTTTCTGCCTATGGTGGCTTCAAACCTTGATCTTCAGATCTCAGCCTCTTGAGTAGCTAGGATTACGTGAGGAAGCCATTGGGGCCTGGCTTGGGAGTATTGTATATCCTTTACATATTTTAGGATACATATCTGCTGTGAGGCATGTGATGGGGAGAATGAAGACACATATACAGAAACTCCCAGGTCAAATCTGAATGTAAATCATATTGGCTTAAAAGGCTAGGCTGAAATGATTTTGGCAACTGAGAACACAGTCAAACAGGTTTCTGCCGTTCACTAGACCCTAAATCTACAAGGGATGCAGTTATTTCTAGGTCCTTCTTTACAGAAATGCCTTAGAGCTGCACCTCTAGGAGAGCAGCAATCTCTCCACTTGGGTCTGTTTCTCTTTGGAGGCCAGGGGAGAGCCACTGTTCCTCTAGGGAAAGGTTAAGTTACTCACATAGAAGAAGGCGAGGGGACCAGCGTGGAAACTAATCATAATCCCGAGGACGCAGGTGAGCTGGGACAGCATGATGTGCAGGGCCACAGCAGCCAGGTACGCACTGATGGTGGCTTCTGGAAGGTACGTAGCCATGAAGCCCATGCCCAGCAAGCCCATACACAGCTGTAGGGGTTCAGGTGGAAAGGAAAACCCGAGAGGCAGAATGTCATCACACCAGCAATGGCACTGAGGCAGGATAGGTGGAGAAAGTGACAAGGAAACTAAAAATAATGTTGAAAGAGCCAGTCTGGGGCTGGGAATGTGGCTTAGGGGTAGAATGCTTGCCTAGTATGCATGAATCCCTGGGTACCACATACACAATTCCTCAGTACCACATACACAAAGAATAAACAAAATAAATAAAATTATCTGAGCACTGGTGGCTCATCCCTATGATCCTAGCTAGTCAGGAGGCTGAGATCTGAGGATAGTAGTTTAAAGCTAGCCTGGGCAGAAAAGTCCTTGAGATGTTTATCTCCAATAAATCACCAGAAAACCAGAAGTGGCACTGTAACTCAAAGTTGTCGGGTGTTAGCCTTAAGTGAAAAAGCTCAGGCACAGTGCCCAGGCCCTGAGTTCAAGCCCCATGACAGACAAAGCTAAATAAATAAAATAATAAAAATGGGGGCTGGGAAGGTGGCTCAGTGGTAGAGCACTTGCCTTGCATGCATGAGGCCCTGGGTTCAATTCCCCAGGACCACATAAGCAGAAAAAAAGAAAGCCAGAAGTGGCGCTGTGGCTCAAGTGGTAGAACGCTAGCCTTGAGCTGAAGAGCTGAGGGACAGCACCCAGGACCAGAGTTCAGGCCCCACGACCGGACCAAAAAAATAAAATAAAATAAAAATAAATAAATAAAAATGGAAAAAAAAAAAGACCAGATTCAGCCAGGTACAAAAGATGCATACCTGTAATCCTAGCTACTCAGGAGGCTGTGATCAGAGGATCTCAGTTCAAAGGCAGCCCAGACAGTTAAGTCTGTGAGACTCTCATCTCCAATAAACCAACAAAAAGCCAGAAGTGGAGCTTAAGCTAAGGAACAGCAACTATGCCCTGAGTTCAAGCCCTATACCAGCAAACACACACACACACACACACACTCACACACACACAGAGTCAGACTTAGCAAATAAAATCAAAAAGGAAAAAACTGGAAAGAAAAAAAGGGGGGGGCATCAAGTTCTCTTCCCATCACCTACTGCTTTTGCAAATCAAATTCCAAGAATAGGAGACAGATGGGGACTCTGTACTTGCTTCCCCTTCATGAGGAAGCTATAAACCCTTTGCATGAGTAGAGACCGAAAATTGGAAGGCATGTCTGGCAAACAGAAGTTTTGAAATTCACCTATTGTCCCTGTGTTTGGGTAGCGCTAGATCGCATCTTCATGTTTGAGAATGGTAAGCTGGCTGTGCTGATGATTCACACCTGTAATTCTGTGCTCTCTCATTTAAGCCACATCTCTCCTCCTGGCCTGGCCTTTTTTTTTTTTTTTAATTTTGCTAGTTTACTAGACATTAGGATCTCATGGACTTTCCTGCCCAGGCTGGCTTCCAACCTCCATCCTCAGATCTCAGGATCCCAAGTAGCTAGGATTGTAGGCATTAGTCACTATTGCCCCGCCAAAATCCAAAATTTTTGAGCATCAACATGATAGCACAGGAAACGTCCACACCTGGCCTCATATGATGGATTCCAAGTACAGTAAAGGTTTGTTTTTTGTTTTGTTTTGTCAGTCCTGGGCATTGTTGCTGTGCTCTTCAGCTCAAGGTGAATGTTCTACCACTTGAGCTACAGTGCCACTTCTGGTTTTCTGGTGGTTTACTGGAGATAAGAGTCTCACAGACTTTCCTGCCTGGGCTGGCTTTGAACTATTACTCTCAGATCTCAGCCTCCTGAGTAGGTAGGATTACAGGCCTGAGTCACTGGTGCCTAGCTACGCTAAAGGTTTTACATAAAATATTTGTTATTATACAAACATAAATGAATTTTGTATTTAAACTTAGGTACTAATCCCAAAATAGCTGTGTATATGCAAATATTCTAAAATAAAAATAATAAATCTAGAATCTGAATCACTCCAGTCTCCATTATTTCAGATCAAGGATGCTCCACCTGTATTTTAAATACATATGTGCATACATATGATGTAAATATCTGTTACATAATATGTAATAAAATTAAATTTAATAAGCTAAGGGAGGTGGCTCATGCCTATAATCCTAGCTACTCAGGAGGCTGAGATCTGAGTATTGCAGTTCTAAGCCGGCCTAGGCAGGAAGTCTGCAAGACTCTCATCTCCAATAAACTATTCAGAAAAAGCTGGAAGTGGTGTTTTGGCTTACATGGTAGAGTGCTAGCCTTGAGCACAAAGAAGCTCAGGGATAGCACCCAAGCCCTGAGTTCAAACCCCAGGAGTGGACGACAAACAAACAACAATTAGATATACAATAAGTAGATATAATAATAAAATATCTGAAAAGATAGGGGAAGAAATTAAACAAGGGGGACAACTTTTTCCAAGTTATACACTTTTTCACTCTTTAAGAGATTTTTGCAATACACGTACCATTGTTTTCTTTTTTTTGGCCAGTCCTGGGACTTGAACTCAGGGCCTGGGCACTGTCCCTGAACTTCTTTTTGCTCAAGGCTAGCATTCTACAACTTGAGCAACAGTGTCAGTTTGGCTTTTTCTGTTCATGTGGTACTGAGGAATCGAGCCCAGGACTTCATGCATGCTAGGCACATTCTCAGCCCTAATACCATCTTTTATAATAAAAAAATACAGCTAGAAAATTGATGGAGAGAATCTCTTTTTCATAAGAGAAAAAGAGCATGGTAGCAGACAACTGTAGTCTCAGCATTTCACCCAGAGGCTGAAACAGAAGTCTGAACCTAACCTGGGCCACAAAATAAAACCCTGTCTCAAAACCAACCACCCCAAACCAACAAAACAAACAAAAACAAACAAAACAAAAAAACTGGCTGGCACAGGCCAATAAAGACTATTCAGAAGAGTAGTCTATTCAAAGGAGGAAATAAAGAGACAAAATGAAAGTCTTGCAGCATAATGCTATCACCACTTCACCCTGTCTTGCTCTAGAAGCTCTCAGAAAACAAACAGAACAACAAATCCTTTCATTTTAAAGGCCTTTTGTTTCTGAGCTTTGATTCAGCCTGTGGTGTGTGTGCCTTAATCTTATATTGCTCAATATGTTCATGTGTGCAATTGAGTCAGGCCCATCTGCCTCCTATTGTTTGGGTGGTTGGCTGGCAGCCATTTCTGTACTAATGTGCAAACCCCACTCTTTTACCATCTCTGCTGGCCTGTATCCAGCATCCCAAGATCCCACTAAGTCTCCCCCCTCAACCCCATCCTTTTTTCCCAGCCAGTCCTGGGGCTTGAACTCAGGGCCTGGGAACTGTCCTTGAACTTCTTTTGCTCAAGGCTAGCACTCTACCACTTGAGTCACAGCACTAATACCAGCCTTTTTTTTGGGGGGGGGTAGTCCAGTCGTGGGGCCTGAACTCTGGGCCTGGGTGCTGTCCCTCAGCTCTTCAGCTCAAGGCTAGCACTCTACCCACTTGAACCAAAGTGCCACTTCTGGCTTTTTCTGGTTATGTGGTGCTGAGGAATCAAACCCAGGGCCTCATGCATGCAAGACAAGCACTCTACCACTGAGATACTTCCCAGTCCCACTTCCAGCTTTTCTAGTTATGTCATACTGAGGAATCTCACCGAGGGCTTCATGCATGCTAGGCAAGCACTACTACCACTAAGCCACATTCCCAGCCTTAAGTCTTCCCTTCTAAGAGGTGAGGTGAAGAAGTATGATAACCACCCACCCTCCTTCAATCTTGCTGCTGCCACTCACTGGCTCTGCAGGTACAAGTTCACTAACTCTTTCAACCTCCTGAGGTTTCCTCTCTGACCTATGGATTACTTAAAAATCTGTTGTTGCTGAGTGCTGGTAGCTCATGCCTGTAATCTTAGCTACTTAAGAGGCTGAGATCTGATGGTTATGGTTCAAAGCCAGCCTGGGCAGAAATGTCCCTGAGACTCTTATCTCCAATTAACCCCCAGAAAACTGGAAGTGGCACTGTGGCTCAAAGTGGTAGAGTGCCAGCCTGAATTCATGCCCCACAACAACAACAACAAATTTGTTACTTAATATCCAAATATCTGGAGAGTTTCCTGTTAACATTTCATTCTAGTTCAATTCTGCTGTTGCTAGAGAGTATGCTCTCTCAACTTAAATTATTTTAAATTTACTTAACTCCAAATATAGCTTGTAGCTAGGATTCCAGACATGAGCCACCAGATGCCCAGCTAGAAGTGGGTGATTTTTTAAAATGTAATTTTATTGTTATTAGTAAGATGTACAGTGGGTTACCATTTCATAAGTCAGGTAATAAGCACATTTCTTTCTTTTCTTTTCTTTTCTTTTTGTCGGTCGTGGGGCTTGAACTCTGGGCCTGGGCACTGTCCCTCAGCTCTTCAGCTCAAGGTGAGCACTCTACCACTTGAGCCACAGTGCTACTTCCAGTTTTTGAGTGGTTTATTGGAGATAAGAGTCTCATGGACTTTTCCTGCCTGGGCTGGCTTTGATCTCAGCCTCCTAATAGCGAGGATTACAGGTGTGAGCCACTGGTGCCGGCTTAGTAAGTACATTTCTTTTTGGACAGTGTCACTCCTTCATTTTCTCCCAGGTGAAGCAGGTGAGTTGGGAGGAAGAAGAACTATCTCTGAAGAGGCAGTCTAGCCCCACATCCTACAAGTTAGCCTGGAAATAAACCATGCAAGTATCGATATATCACCGTGGATCACAGAAGCATTAAAAGGGGTCCAATGTTAGTCTCTTTATTTAGTTGTTTTCCAGGGGTTTAGAGACTCTTATCTTACCTGAATAATTCCAGTCAGAAAGGTGGTGGTTGCAACGACACTTAAGGAACTGTTATAGTTGATAATGTAGGAGGGAGCAGAAAAGTCATCCTTGATGAACGTTCCCATGATCAGGTGACCATTGTTGAATGGGCTCTCACTCAAGACATCCATTATCAGAGCACTCACAAGGAAAAAGGGACCTGGTTAGGCACAAAGTAAGGGTTCAGGTCTAGATAAGCTGATACTGACAAGAGCAAGGTGTAATCTGATTTTGTATCCACTTTGGTCTGAAGGACTTTCTTATTGAAATGTGGCTGATGAGAAGTAAGAAGGCTGGGAAGGTGGCTCAGTGGTAGAGCGCTTGCCTTACATGCATGAGGCCCTGAGTTCAATTCCTAGGCACCACAGAAGCAAAAAAGAAAAAAGCCGGAAGTGACGCTGTGGCTCAAGTAGTAGAGCACTAGCCTTGAGCTGAAGAGCTGAGGGACAGCGCCCAGGCCCAGAGTTCAGGCCCCATGACCGGACCTCCCCCCCCAAAAAAAAGAGACGAAAGAGCAGGGGAAGCCAGGTGCTAGTTGTTCAAACCTGTAATCCTAGCTACTCATAAGACTGAGATCTGAGAATCAAGGCTCAAAGCCAGCCTGGGCAGGAAAGTCTGAGACTCTTATCTCCACTGAACCAGCAAAAAGCCAGAAGTAAAACTATAGATCAAGTGGTAGAGTGCCAGCCTTAAGCAAAAATGCTCAGGGACAGCGCCTACCCCGAGTTAAAGCCTCAGTACCTGTGCATGTACGTGCATGTTCTCTCTCTCTGTCTCTGACTATCTCTGTCTCTGTCTGTCTCTGTCTCTGTCTGTCTGTCTGTCTCTCTCTCTCTCTCACACACACACACACAGAGAGAGAGAGAGAGAGAGAGAATAGGGAAGAGAGTCCTACAGCCATGAGCCCAATATCATGACCAAACTCACAGAACTTAGACGCTGCTGGTCCAGGTGCTTACTTCTTTGTCATTATGGGCATATGGGGTGGGATTCAAAGAGAAATTGATGGGAAATGGATATCAGGCTCAGCCACTGTGCCTACACTAAGAGGAAGTTAAAAGCAAAGTGAAAGGACTATAAAACAAAGCCACAGCAACAAGAGGGGAAAAAAGAATACTCAATGCTTCTTGGATATTTACTATGTATAAGATGACACTGTTTGTCTCTCCTTTCTGCTCATTGGCTGCCAGGAGATGAACACCCTCCTTCCTCTCTAGTCTCTCACCAGGTTCTTTCTGACTATAGGCCTAGAAACAATGGAACCAAGTGACCATGGATTGAATCCTCTGAAACCATGTGCCAAAATAAAATTTTTCCTCCGTTAACTTGACCTTCTTGAGTACTTTGTTGACCTTAGCTATCAGTAAATGATCAAGGTAGACATTTCATTGACTTCCTGTGGCTTCAGTAACTGAACTCACCAATGGACATTTGATGACATGATCCAAAAATTACATAAATTACCGAAGAACAGAAAGCTGAATAAGTGACATTGAGAGAAGGAATCAGTTGCCTTGTCAGCAAGCTAAGTGTCAGGCCTGAAAAGCAAGACAGTCTAAGTAAGAAAAGGTAGCTTGGCATGTAAAAGTCACTTTAACTAAGAACTAAATCTTAGAATAAAAAAGATCTGTGTAGCTAAGTGTGGTAATTGTATCCTTGGACAAATAGTCCTTAATTAATACCATTTATCATGTCCTTTACTTCCTAGTGGTACAGCATCAGCTTTGAGTGAAAAAGCTAAGCAAGGCCTAGAGGCCCTGAATTCAAGCCCCAGTACCAACACACACACACACACACACACACACACTCACATACACACACACACTCACACACACACACACTCACACTCACACACACACACACACACAAAGGAGGAAGAGAAGGAGAGGGAGGAGGAGGATAAATAAGAGGAAGAGAAAAAAGAAAAGAAAAAAGAAACAAAAGGGAAAATGGGGAACTGTAAGAAGCAATAAAACCCTTTCAACCCATTCTATTCTCTGTGGACAAATTTAGTCTTAGTTTAACTTTCTACCCGTTTCCCAGGAGACCTGGAAACAACAGAATGTTAGCTGTATATGCAAGCAGAATTGCTATGGTAAAATCTAGTCCAATTAGAACCCTCCATCTGGACAGAAAGGATTGTGAATGAAGGGTGAATATCTCTTATTAACTTATCTTGTCCATGGAAGCCATACTTAAGGCTGTTGGTTCCTGTTTCAAAATAAGGTTCCTGAAGCCCCAATAGCTCCGAGTCCTATCTACATGGCTTTATATTATATCGGAAGGGTCATCTGTTGGATAGACACTGGACTGTCATGTTTCCTAAACCTCACCTTTCTGAGTAAAACAAATACTACCTGAGATCTATTATAGTCAACAAATCTGAGAGGACTAATATGACCAAAAAACACCAACAATGGACACTGTACATTTTCTGCAGTGTTCAGGAATCTAAACTGAAGGAATCTGGGTACTGGTAGCTCACATCTGCAATCCTAACTATCCAGGAGGCTTTGGCTGAGGATCTAGGTTCAAAGCCAGCTCATGCAGGAAAGTCCATGAGAGTCTCCAATGAACTAGCAAAAAGCCAAAAGTGGAGATGTGGATGTGGTTCAATTGGTAGAGAGTAAGTGAAAAAGTCAAACAAGAATGTGAGTACTGCATGTGTACACACACACACACACACACACACACAAATAATCATAAACTGAACTAAGTCTTTTGAACCATCCTGGAGGGATGGTAATTGAAGGAACAAATGAGAATGGTGTGGATTCTGCTCACATTCTCTTCTGCTCGTCTAGCATGAGAAATTGTTTACTCTGTATGTGGATAAAGTCTGACAGGTTGTTTTGGGGGGAAATGGCTTCATGTTTTCCTTACCTTGGGGAACTTGCACGAGGCCAACGCTTAGACCAGCAACTAGGTCTCCAAGAAGCCAGTCTTTGAATCGATACAAACACATCCATTCCAGGAAGGGAAAGAGTGTAAGCATGCATCTTAGGAACTTGTGCCATGAGCAGCTTCAAGAAAGAAAAAACAGAGGCTAGATTAGGTTCCCTAAAGAGAATGTCCATTAGTCAAACAAAGGCACAATAGTCATCCTTCTTCCCACAGAGCAAAAATTCACATCAGTCCTATTCACATTTTGACATATTGAACCAACTAATTTTTTTGTGCTGGTACTGGGGCTTGAACTCAGGACATTGTGCTCTCACTTGACTTTTTTTGCTTAAGGCTGCTGCCCAACCACTTGCACTACAGCTCCACTTCCAGTTTTTTTGCTGGTTAATTGAAGGTAAGGGTCTTACAGTTTCCTGCTTGGGCTAATGTCCAACCATGATTCACAAATCTCAGCATTCTGAGTAGCTAGGATTATAGGTGGGAGCTACCAATGCCCAGCTAGACTAGATAATACTTGGTTGTGGATCTTCCCCACACATTGTAGACATTAGCAGCAGCCTGTGTACCCAGTAGTCTCTCTTCCCCCTAGTTGTGACAACCACAAATATCTCCAGACACAAACAAGTACCTTGTAGAGGATAAAATCACCAGTGTTATATATCTTACAAGACCTAAGACTCCTATGTCTACCATGTACTGCTTCTGTAATTGTGTGTGTGTGTGTGCGCGCGCGCACGTCAGTCCTGGGGCTTAAACTCAGTGTCTGGGCACTGTCTTTGTTATTTGTTCAAGACTAGCGCTCTACCACTTGAGCCACAACTCCACCTCCTGCTTTGAAGATAAAAGTCCACTAGTGGCTATTTGGAGATAAGAGTCTCATGGGTCTTCCTGCCTGGGTTGGCTTTGAACACTCAGCTTCCTGAGTAGCTAGGATTATAGGCATGAGCCACCAATGCTTGTCCTGCTTCTGTGTTTTTATTGTATGCTGAGGAAGAAACAAATCTACCAATTTTAGTAGAAAATGAAATGTTGTTTGCTTAGGATAAGTACAGTTTCTTGAGATTCAATACTGAAGGGTGATAAAGGTAATGGACACATTCACATATAGAAAGATTTTACCAGGCATTCACTCAGTGTGTCTTTGACCTGTGTAATATGTGGACATGTATAGAAAATATAGACTATGGAATCTCAGGCTTAAGGAATTAACCATGTTAAGAAAGGCATACACAGGTGTGTTTACACACGCGTGTATGTGCTGGTACTAGGGTATGATCTCAGGCCTTGTGCTCCTACTTGGCTTTTACACTCAAGGCTAGCACTGTACCACTTGTACCATAACTCTACTTACAGTTTTGTGCTGGTTAATTGGAGATAAGAGTTTCTTGGATTTGTCTGCACAAACTGGCTTTCAACCTCTATCCTCAGAATCCAATCTGCTGAGTAACTAGAGTTATAGATGAGCCACCAACACCCATCTACAAACTTTTATTTATTTATTTTTTGTCATGGGTCTTCAAGTCTGGGCCTAGACACGGTTCCTCAGCTCTTTAGCTCTACCACTTGAGCCACAGCACCACTTCCAGTTTTCTGGTGTTTTATTAGAGATAAGTGTCTCACGGATGTTTCTGCCTGGTCTGGCTTTGAACCGTGATCCTCAGATTTCAGCCTCCTGAGTAGTCAGGAATATAGGCATGAGCCACTGGTGCCCAGAGCATTTTTTGTTGTTGTTGGTCATGGGACTTAAACTCAGTTCCAGAGTGCTGTCCCTGAGTTCTTCAGTTCAAGGCAAACACTCTACCACTTGAACCACACACCACTTCTGGTTTTCTTGTAGTTTATTGGAGATAAGAGTCTCAAGGACTTTTCTGCCTGGGCTGGCTTTGAACTGTGATCCTCAGACCTCAGCCTCCTGAGTAACTAGGATTATAGGCATGCGCCACTGGCACTGTGTGGAAATCACAACTGGCCACATACATTTTTTTTTTTTGGTCAGTCATGGGGCCTGAACTCTGGGCCTGAACGCTATCCCTCAGTTCTTCAGCTCAAGGCTAGCGCACTACCACTTGAGCCACAGAACCATTTCTGGCTTTTTCTGCTTATCTGGTGCTGAGGAATCGAACCCAGGGCCTCATGCATGCAAGGCAAGCACACTACCACTGAGCCACTTTCCCAGTCCACATACATGTTTGTTTGTTTGTTTTGGTCTGGTCGTGGGGCCTGAACTCTGGGCCTGGGCGCTGTCCCTCAGCTCTTCAGCTCAAGGCTAGCACTCTACCACTTGAGCCACAGTGCCACTTCCGGCTTTTTTCTTTTTGCTTATGTGGTGCTGAGGAATCGAACCCAGGGCCTCATGCATGCAAGGCAAGCGCTCTACCACTGAGCCACCTTCCCAGCCCATGTTTGTTTTTTTTTTTAAAGCCTTTAACTTGGTGTATCTCAGTCTGGTCCAAGTTTGTTCCTGGGGGACACCTGGCAGTGTTTGGAGGTAGTTTTCATATTTATGACTAATATCTATTAGATAAAGGCTAGAATACTTCTAAATATTCTGCGGCCATCTCTACACAAGAAAGAACTTTCTTGTCCAAGGGCTGGGAAGGTGGCTCAGTGGTAGAGCGCTTGCCTTGCATGCCTGAGGCCCTGGGTTCAATTTCTCAGCACCACATAAGCAAAAAGAAAAAAGCCACAAGTGGCAGTGTGGCTCAAGTGGTAGAGCGCTAGCCTTGAGCTGAAGAGCTGAGGGACAGTGCTCAGACCCAGAGTTCAAGCCCCAGGACTGACACCCCCCCCAAAAAAAGTGCAACATTAAATAAAACAAAAACAAAATGTTAGTGCTGCTGAGATCATATTAAATCTTCTTTAACTTTTTAGATATAAAAAATAGACCCCCTACAAATGAAGCAATCAACAGAACCAATTTTCATTTGGTCTTTTGTTTTGACAATGCTTTGTTTTGTACTCAGGGCCTGTGCTTGCTAATTTGGAACCCTACCATGTGAACCACACAGCCAATTTTGTTTTCTGTTGGTTAATTAGAGATGGAATTTTGTGGACTTTTCTGCTTGGGCTGGCTTTGAACCAGCATCCTCTAAGTCTCAGCTTCCTGAGTGGCTAGGATTTCAGGCATGAGCTTCCAGTGCTCTGGTCTGCTTGATTTTAAATTACTTTATATCTATCTATCTACACACACACATACACACACACACACACATATAAATTGTTTTTGTCGGTTGTGGGGCCTGAACTTTGAACTCTGGGCCTGGGCACTGTCCCTCAGCTCTTCAATTCAAGGCTAGCACTCTACAAGTTTTGGTTTTCTGGTGGTTAATTGGGGATAAGAGTCGCATGGATTTTGTTGCCGGGGCTGGCTTTGAACCTGCAATCCTCAGCTCTCAGCTCCTGAATAGCTAGGATGACAGGCGTGAGCCACTGGTGCTTGGCTTGCTATTTATGTTTTGGCCTGGCTGGCAAGCAAAGAATATGAAGATGTGTTTTCAGTTGTGTGATGAATTACATACTTGGGATTTGACTACCCAACAAAGATAACTTTAGTGTGTGCAGTGACAATGTATGTGCTCCAAAAAGAAGTCATTTCATACAAAGCTGACTCTTGCAGCTTGAAGATACATAGGGCCAAATAAGTCTAAATGATTTTTCCAAGGTCACAGTAGTTGGTGTGAGTTAGAGCTGCAGCGAGAAGCCAGGACTTCTGATTCCTGCTTCAGTGTTCTACTCTCTCTACCACCCCCACACTTCCTACTGACAGCTGTGAAATTCTGCAAGGCCATTGGTTTGGAAGCAATAGCACATTGCTATTCTTACAGGAGTCACTTTGGCTTAAACAGGTGCATGAAGAGGCGTAATTGGAGAACAGTCTTTATGCACCTGCCTTAAGCCTTAAGCAGTGGGACAATTGGTTCCTCTGCCTGCCTGGTCCACACTCCCCTCCTTGCCATGTGCCACTTGGCTGGAGACCTGATGACCTGTAGAGTTACTGAAGCTCTTTGGCATGGTGAGAAACAAATTGAATATGGAATGATGAGCTTTTAAGACTGAAAGAAATCAAGGAGGAAGTTAAAGCAAGAAATTTGAAACTTACCAGTGGGTGGTAGGGGACAGGATAAGCATTTGTTAGCTTATTCTGTGTGTGTGTGTGTGTGTGTGTGTGAGAGAGAGAGAGAGAGAGAGAGACAGAGAGACAGAGAGACAGAGAGAGAGAGTATGAGTACTGAGGCTTGAACTTGGGGTCTGGGCTCTGTCCTTGAGCTCTTTTGCTAAAGGCTGGTACTTCAGCAGTGGAACCAGAGCTTTACTTCAGCTTTTGGTTGGTTAATTGGAGATAAAGGTGTCATGGGCCTTCCTTCCCTGGACTGGCTTGGAACCGTGATCCTCAGATTTCAGCCTTCTGAGTAGCTAGAATTACAGTCACGAGCACTTGGCAGGGAGAAGCATTTAGATTGGAATTTGGTGAAGGCATCTGAAGAATGAAGAATGTAAGAGGTGATGGGAAAGCACAAACGGCCTTTTGCTAAGAAAGGGAGGATTTGTAGTTACTAAGTCAGAGAAAGAAATAAGGAAAGAGATAAGAAAGTTTTCCTGTAGAAAGGAAGAGATGGAGTTAAATTTTTACTGGAAAAGAAAAACCCAAAGCCTGCTAATCTAGTGTTTCCTCCTTTCTCCAATACTTTACATTCATTTGTTAAGTCTTCAGTCACTTTCTGAAGTTGGTACTATTATCATGCCCCTTTTATAGATGAGAAACTTAAGGCTCCACAACTGTAAGCAGAAGGATGAGTTTCAGAACTCAGCAGCCCTGGATCAGACTCATGTTCTTCATATCTGTGCCGTGCAGCCTTTGTGGTTAAACCAAAGGAGGGACCACAATAGCCATGGAAGCCCACAGGAGGCCAAATGAGTCAGATCTAAGTGTCCAGAGGGTCAGGCTGGGGCAGGTGGAGGCAGGTTAGGCTGCAGTGTCTTGTGTAACAGTTGCAGAGATAAAACCGAAGTAGAGAAATATCCTCTTAGATGTGTACTTCCTTTCTCTGCAGAGGAAATCAGAGAAGTAACACAGAAATGGATGTAGCTGTGAGTGGTAGGATATAAACAAAAAAGGGTG